TTTTTGTGTGTGATGGGGGTGCGTGCTCGTGTGGATGCATTGTGTTGTCGTCCTGGTGTGTCGCGTCGTCGTCCTGGTGTGTCGTGTCGTCATCCTGGCATGTCGTTGACACGTCATCGTCATGTCAGTGGGCAGTGGTGGGTCGTGGTGGTGGGCGCTCGTCGTTTTTCGTGGGTGCTCGTTGTCGTTCGTGTGTGGGGGTGGGTGGGTGCTCGTCGCGGTTCGTTGACAGTGGTGGGCGCTCGTCATTTGCCGTGACGTGGGTTTCATTGTTTTCATGGGTGCTCGTCGTTTTTCATGTGTGGTGGGGGGTGCTCGTGTTGTGTCGTCGTCCTGGCGTGTCTTCGTTCGCTTCGTGACGTGGGTTGCCATTGCGCGTGTGTGCGTCGGCGCGGTTGTTGTTGTACGTGGGCGATCGTTGTTGTGCGTCGGCGTGGTCGTTGTTGTATGCGGGTGGCCATTCTCGTACGTGGGCGGTTGTTGTTGTTCTCGTATTGTGTTGTCACGCTGTCGTGCCGTGTCCGGGGTGGTCTGCTGTCGTCCGTTGACGTGGGAAGTCGTTTCCGTGGGTGGTCGTTTCCGTGGACAGTCGTTTTCGTGGGTGGGCGGTCGTTTTCCTTCGTGGGCGTTCGTGTTCGTACGTGGGCGTTCGTTTTCGTACGTGCGGTTGTTGCATAGGGTCGTGGTGCCGTCATGGTCGTTGTCGACGTGTCGTCGCCGGGTTGCGTTGTTGCGCCGTGTCGACATCTGTGGGTGAGTGGATCAGGTGGAGTTGGGTTGCTCACCCATGGACGACGAACATCGCTTGTCGTCGTTCGTCGTCTGGTTGCCACGTCGCCGATAGCGACATGGCACCGACACCCATGACTGGGCGCGGTCCCTTGTTTCCTCGTTCATTTCATTTGGCGTGTTGCTTCGGTGACGTGGCTGAGAGCGGTGGCGATGGCCGAGAGTGGTGGTGGGTGCAGGACGTTGGCGAGGGGTGGTGGTGGTGGTGGTGGAAGGGAAAGAGATGGTCACGCAGATGTGACTATGCCAGTACTTATCACTCCCCCACCTATTCCTACTGGACTCCAGGACTCCAGTAAGATTCCTACTGGATTCCAGGACTCCAGTAGGATTCCCACTGGATTCCAACAATTCTTCCAAAAAAGGCATTTTCCACCTATTGGACTCCTACTGGACTCCAACTGGACTCCAACTG